GGTTGTTAACCAATGTCATAAAACAACATGTGTACTACTGTTTCATGAGAAACTATTTGTTCTGTAAGCCTTCACCTGAAGTACAATAAAATATAAAAAAACAAAACAAAACAAAAACAAAGCAGGGCCAACCAGGCCAACAAAGCGGGGCTGACTGCAAACACCCATTCCTTATGCTCAGGTGCACAGTATAACTCATCACAATCCCTTTGCCACAGCCCCCTTTTTAAGCTTCTCCACAAAAATCCATCCTGTCAAGTTGGTTCAAGATGCTTCAAAATAAATCATCATCAAGAGAAAAACATGCAACATGTCTTACAGTGTCAGATTCCTTAAAAAATACATTGACAAGGAAAAAAGAAAACCACACAGATGAAACTAGAGTGTTTAAAAGCAATGTATATTCTACACACATACCAACGAATGGCCTAAATGAGGTAATATGACAAAATGAGAAAAATATATTTAAGGTTGTTCTCTGTAGAATTCATGGCAGCTGCTGGACTATCTAGCTACATAAAAAACAATATTGAATTGCCTTAAGTCTAAGTTAATACAAAATAGTTTAACATTTACAAACTGGGACCAAAATGTGTCTCCTGGTTTCTTGACAGAAATAAATGAACCCACGTGAATTCCTTTTTCCTTGTACCCTTTTACCTTGCCCTTTCCCTATTCCACTAATGTCCTCTTCTTTTTGTAACTCTTCTAGTTATTTTGCCTGGCCTCGCACCCAAGTATCACAGTCAGAGAATCCCTGAAGCTCAAGATTCTATGGTGGCTGTTTGCAAGAGGGAGGAGGCTACAGTAACTGCCAGATTGGATACACTTATGTTGGAAAGAAGGGGGGAAGGATCCCCAATGCCTCTCAAGTATAAAAAAGTGGAACGCCAAGATGCCAGCATTGCTCCCAAGAGCCAGAGGTGGACAATTCTGAACAAAAGAAATAGAACCAAAGGCCAGAAGAGGGAAGATGTGCTGCTGGCCATGTACTTCTAGCTTTTTGCTGTCTGCTTCTAATGGGAACAGTCCATTTTAGGAAGTATCAAGGCACTGAGAAGATCCCTGCTTCTGGAAGTTGACAGGAAGTAACATCCATGAATGTGAGAACGAAACATCAAGGTTTGTCACAGAAACAATGCCTAAAATGACGTGGGTGTGTGGGGAGGCGGTTGGAGAGCAGAAGAGAGATGGAAGTCCAACCTGGCCCAGACCAACCTAGGCAAAGGATGGGAGAATTCAACAAGAAACTGAAAAGAGAAAGCACCTGGGATCTCGTCATTTCCCACAAGATGCAGTCAAGCAACGTCACCCTATCTTCAAACAAGTTACAAAGAGAGCTCTCTAATCTCTTCCTTTGGTCCTCTAAAAGCTGCAGTAAGTTCACTATCCACATCAATTGATATGGATTTCAGAATAACTGTAATTGCTCAACCTAGATGACTCTTTCCTTCCTCCCTAAGCATATTAACTATATATTATGTATAATTATAAATATGTATTATAAAAAGAACTATATTTTATGTAATATAATATATACAACATAATTAAATACTAGTTATTATAATAAGAACACCTATAAGAAACTTTGAGATGATTTCCCTAACACAGGAGCTTAGGGAAAGTGCAAATACTACTTCTGTCTTATAAGATTTCACCTCTCCAGAGCTCAGCCATGTAGGGACCCTTATACCCCTCCTACCACGCCCTCCACCCAATCCCGCCTCCTTGCTGGGGATCTCACCTCCCTATTGGCTGTCTCATACCTTTAAACTGCCTGCCCCGTGACCTCATTCTCCCACCAAACCTACCACCATATGGTAGAATCTTGGGGTTTCCATAGAGTTGTCTGTAAATAAATTTGGATCAACGCAAGTGACCGGTGGCCGGTGGCCTTCATACTGGACACATGCACATGCTGTCTTTGGCTTCAGCCACTAAGACATCTTCTAGTATCTTCTCTTCAACACTTGTATCTACAGTTGATGTTACCTCTTCTCTGACCATGTCAGGTAAGAAAAGACAATGTTTTTTCATTAGATTTTTTTCCCCTAAATTTAATAGTAGAGTCAAACTAGCATGCACTAGTGGGGGAAAGTATTGAACTAGAAATCTGGAAACCTAATTTCGTTTGGGATTTGACATTTACTAGCTGTGTGACTTAGGATAAGTCACTCAATCTCCCTCAGAATCTGTTTCCTCATCTGTTACATGAAGACATTAGATTGGTTGACCTCTATGGTCCCTTCATTTTCTAATACTGTGTTTCAAAGGGCACACATACAAACAATGAAACCAGAGACTTCTTGAGAGTGTTTCAACAGAAATAGAGAGAAAACCTAAGCGGAGTTGAAGACTAGCAATATATACTGACAAAAGATGTTTCAGGTGATGTCTCTGCTGACATTTCAACTTTAGTATTTCAAATTCAGAGGTGTTCAAAAAGTAATATTCACATGTTTTGGCATTTTCTATCTAAACTGGGTAAAAAGAGAAAATGGAGAGAGAGGATGGAGAATACTGGGCTATGACGAGGGTAGGGATTCCAGCCTAAGGATGTCCAGGAGTGTTTTCAACAAGCACAGGCCAACAGAGGCCAAGAGGGGGAGAAAATATGAGGATGAAGGAAATAGAGAGTGTGGAGGAGTTCTCAAGGGAAAAAGAGGTAGTTGGGATGGAATGTCAAGGAGCACCAAGGATTTCAATTTAAAGCAGGAAAAGCAAAGAGTGGAATCTACTCAGAGTGGGGCAACATGCTTAGATTAATGGACTCAGAAGGAAACTAAGGCTAGAATGGGATATCACTAGAAAAGGCAGCTTATCAGATAGTCACACCCAGTTGGTTTTTCTCCTGATCGCCTCTTGGAACGCAGTTGGCACTTGACAGTTTTCAGTATAAACATTTTAGAAGTATGTTGTAGAAATGATGCTCCCTACAAACAAGAAACTAACAAAACAGCTTATAGGGGGTGGGAGGCAGAAATAGAGTTTTCAGTTATTTCACAGATTTTAAACCATGTAGAAGTTTTACCTTTTAAAATTGAAAGTGTTTTTGAATATATGATGGCTCCTAACTCACATCAGAAGGACAAATTCCTTAGTGTGATTAGTAGGTTCCAAGTAAGGGTTGATTTTCACCTTTACAAGAACCAAACATACTTGTAAACAGTCATCTCTTTTTAGACTTTAGCTGCCTAAGAAGAAAAAAAGAAAAAGTCAAGCTCCACATTTCTAATTCTTTATTTATCTAAAACAATTTTGTGGAGTTATTTGGGGGGAGGGCTTCCCTACATTAGAGAAGTTTCTTTATTAAATTTTGGATTCTAGTAACGATGATAGCTTTCTACCTTTCAGGATGACATTTTCCTGGTTGTGGAAAATGATTATAATCTACGTTTTCAGGATGAATATAAAAACCTTTACGTGAATTTTAAGTGTTTTTTTTTCTGTTTGTTATGTGGCTATATTAAGTGAAATATCAGTTTCTATTAGGATTCCTATCTGTTACTTGCTGTATAAGTGACACTCAGAGAAATATGAATGGGCATGATAAAGGAATTCCTTTATATTTATTATTTTTCTCTGTGCTTTGTACCAGTTTTTGTTGAGATATCTGTCTACAGATATTGTGGCTGCCTATAAATTCACATTTACTTCATTTTGATACTTTTTATGCAATTTATACTGATCTATTTTCTGTCTGTACTGATTAGAAATCCACTCAAAATCACCTTCTATTAAGAACTGCTTTTTGGTTAATACTATTCACATAATAGAGCATTATGGTATAAAACTTCTTTATTATAAATTTATTATGTTTTTATGCTTGTTATATAACCCAGTTTTAATATCTAACTTTTTTAGTTATTTGATGTTAAATATTTTTCATGATTAGCATATTTGTCTTTCCAGAACTTATCGTATCTACCTACATAAATATCATAAGGAGTATATCACATTTATTCATGTATGGATTATTATTATTGCTGTTGCTGTCATTGTGATAACCACTTTATAGATGAGGAACCTGAAACTCAGAGAGTTTAAATGACTTTTTTCTTTCAAAAAAATATGTCTCTGGGAAAGTAAAATGGTACAATTTGTATAGAAAACAATTTGGCGGTTCCTCAAAAAGTTAAACATAGCGTTACCATATGACCCAGTAATTCAACTACTAGGTATATACCCAAAAGAACTGAATGCAGGGACTTAAACAGATACTTGTACAGCAAGGTTCACTGCAGCATTAGTCACAATAGCCAAAAGGTGAAATCAACTCAAGTGTCCATCAACAGATGGATGGATAAACAAAATGTGGTATATACATAAAATAAAATATTATTCAGCCATAAAGAGAAATGAAGTCATGATACATGTTACAACAAGGATGAAACCTGAAAACATTATGCTGAGTGAAATAAGTCAGAAAGAAAAGGATACGTATTATATGATTCCACTTATAAGAAGTATCTACAATAGGCAAATGCATGGAGACACAAAGTCGATTAGTGGTTTCCAGGGGCTAGGAGGAGGGGAGAATGGGGAGTTATTGCTTAAACTGGTGCTGAATAAAAAGAAAAAAACAAAGCACTTTTTGACAAATTACCTCTCAGGGAGCCATTCTGACTTCGGATCAGAAGCCAGGCTTGAAGACGGTAAGAATGACCTTTAAAATTTACCAACTAGACTAAGTTATTATATGTGAACTCTAGAAAATGTCAAGTGAATTTTACAAGCAAAATGACCACTGAAAATTACAATGGCAAGAGCTTTACTGTTTTCAAATGGACAAAAATAATGTCTATATTAAAAGTTCTGTTTCTCTCAGTTTCTGGTACTGGAATGCTCAGAGCAAAGAGTTCTGGCAATGGCATCAGGATACCTCAGATCTGTAGCCTGGTAATGCTACAAACATAACGCGAGAACTTGAACGAGTCATCGGACCTCTCTGAGTCTCAGTTTTCTCATCTGTAAAATGAGAGTGTTGGAGCAGAACTTGTCTCAGGATCTCCAAATCCTAAAATGCTTCAATCCTAGGAAACAGTATATGGGTCAATACTAGTACAGGCGCAAGAGAAAGATAAGGCCGTAAGGCGGCTGCTTCCAGCCTAGAAAACAATGTATCAGCTAGACAAGCTGTGTCTTCTGTATGTCTGTGCCCAAGGTGGCAGCACAGGCAGTTAATGCAGAATAGCACCAACATCAGAGCACAACCATCAGAAAGTTTGGTTTTTGCATCTCATTGAGTATTGGTACTAGAGGCTTTCTGACTGTAACAATTCTAATGTTGTTCCTCAAATATGGTGAGAATTTCTCAATCTCACTGATTTTTTACCACCATTTTGTTTCCTACAGAGAATTTCCAAAATTCATCTCTGCTTGGAACTCCAAATTCTCTGCAGCTCTCTCTTCCTGTGGTGAGCAATGCTGCTCCTCTAACAGGAAGCATCTGCAACTTCTCCAGGGTCTCTCCTCCAGCTGTCAGCTCGGCATGGCTACTGCCATCAGCCTCTAGCACCTCCTTCCAACCACTCATAGGTACTGCCTACCTTTACCCACATTCTAGCACAACCATGTTGTCTGCAGTTTCTGGCCAGACCCAGATTTCCACTTCATCTGCCTCCTCTTCAGGCATTTTTGAGTGGAATATTACAGGAAGCACTGAGAGGAAGTCATCTTCACTCAGGGACTTCACTGTCACTGTCATTGACCAGGACACAGCTATCTCTTCCATGCCTATGGCAGCTCAATACGACAAAACTTCAGATACCAATAACATGGTCCCTCTGTATCCACCACTGTCTGCTAGCCTTGTTCAGGGAACACCAAATCAGGGACCTAGCTTATCATTGCCCTCCCCGGAAGGGAGCCAGGTATATTACTATAATCAAGGCACACTGGGGCCCCTACTCTCTGGAGAACTTGGCCCCTGCCTGCAATCCTATGGCTCTGTGTCATACACAGGAGGTAGGGCCTCTGCCCCTCAACCAGAAATGGTGATGGTACTAAAGGAGGTTCAGCCCACAAATGACCTACCAGCAGCCTCCAGCTCTGGAATTTACTACTCCGTGTCTGCTCAACCCATCATGGAAATGAGTTTTCAAGGTGAGTAGAAAGAGCAAGAAGGGAGAGGAATAAGGCCAGCATTCAGAAGGAGGGTTGAATTTGCAGCTGGGAAGTGGTGAGTCCACAGAGAGGTAGAATTTAGTCCTGAGACTAAACACTACCCTTGTTCAATGCTCTCCAACGTTTCCAGACTCTGTATAAGAACACCTAATACAGGTGGGACACTGCAATGGCCAATTATGCTACATGTAAGAGAACCCGAAGAGAATACCAAGGGATACTATACTTTCCACTGCCCTAGTTGATCAGTTCCCCTGCACCACCACGCTGTAAATAACTCCCTTCTCTGATCTTTAATCTCTTTGGAAGGCACTTCCAAACTCTTATTGTACTAGTACCAGTTTAACTTTCCCTCACCTCCTTAATTCACACCAGGATTTAAAACTTTGTGTTCAGACACTTTGTCCAAAGAAAGCAGGTACAGACTTTGTCTTTGGTTATATATCTTATGAAGGAAGAGTTCATCTCCGTCCTTAGTCCATGATATCAAGTATTCTTACTCTCTCAAGAGAATGAAGAGAATTGAAAGCACCCTATGTGAGTATGCAAGGCTTTATTTTAAAAAATATTTAATATTTTTAAGTTACCTTCACACTATTTCACTTATAATAACCCTAAGACATACAATGAAAACCAAGAAACAATGACATCAAATGATCATGGGTCAGAACTTGAAGAGCAGCCTCCTAGTTCCTAAACAGAGTCCTGTCTGTGCTCCTTAAGAAGAGCTTGTAGAAAGCCTTGCCCATTGTTAGGGAAGGTGCCTGATTGCTCTGCTGGGATGTAGGGGGCACATCTCACCTACCAGACACTTAGTGACTTTTTCCTTGATTCCTTTGTAGTGATGGAAACTTCCCTGGGGATGGAGACTTCCCTGGGATTGCAACCTCCAAGTCAGACATTTTGTCTGCCACAAACTCCAGAATTCCCCAAGTCCTGCAGTAGCAGAAACATCCACACACCTGAGAGTAACCCACCACCTGAGCTTGGGGACATTCCAGTGATAGCTCCAGTCCAGAGTTCTAGTAATGTCCTTGCACTGCCTCCAGCTCCAAGTCAGGAGCAAACAGAGAACCAGAATCTGGATGAGAATAAAAGCAAGCTTCCAAAACCTCTGGATGCCTGCCAGATCCCAAGAGAATACGAAGATCCTCCACTACTCCCTTTAGAAATCCCTGATATTCATCATCTTCTGGCTTGCATTGATCCCCTCAGTCAAGAGGAGCAGTCTGGTTCTGAAAACAATTATCTGGGAAAGAAAAGCCTTAGTCTTGAGGACCAAGACACACCTGAAAATGGGAATGAGTCTAGCAGTGGTTTTGCAGGTATCACTACACTGGTGGAGGATAGTCACCTTTCTCAGCTCTTCAATTCCTCGAATGGCCTTGATCAGTCCAAAGATCCCAAGGCAATCAAAGCCAAAGATACCAAAGCCATCAAGGTGAATGAAGTGCAGGAAAAGACAAGCGTGATAAACAGTTCGTGTGATCGAGTCAGGAAGAACAAACACAAAGCCTCTGAGCCTATCACTGGTGCTCCCAAGGCCAAAATCCAAGCAAAGAACCCAGAGGGAGAAGTGGTTGTTTGCAATGCAGAAGCCAGTGACAGGGCTCCTGTGAAGACTGCTAAGCATTCTGACAGCAAACCTCAGAAAGCTGCATCCAGCAGAAGCAGCAAAACTAAGCGCCAC